GAAACAAATACTCAAAACCAGTGCCGGCCCGGTAAATTTGGGTGCCCTAAGCAAAATTAAAGCCATAAAAATTTTTTTTTTTTTTAAATTAGATTTTTACCATTAAAAAGAATGTTGTAGTTGTCTCTAAAAGCCAACAATATTTTTAAAAGGCCCTACAAAAATTATTGTATATAAGAAAACTTAACAAATTTTTAGATAAAAAGGCCCTCAAATTTTGAGGCCCTAATCGGTGGCTTCGGTTGCTTGCCCTCTGCGCCGGCCCTGCTCAAAACCGATAAAAACACAACATATCAACTCCCCCCGACTTAGATCTTTTCTTGTCCTCAAGGAAAGCAGAAATCTTTATCAAGAGAAGAGGTTTGAAAACACGAGAACTCACATTTTCTTCAGGATCATGTTCTTATCAATTGGCTGCAAACCACTATCACAAAATTCATCAAACCGTACTAGACTGTACTTCGCCATAACCGTAGCAACAAAATTAAGTCCCGAGATCTAAAAGAACTTTCAGAATCAGATAACTTAACCTTTTAACATTCATTAGCAGAGGCGTGTACTCTCACAAAGGGGGTATCGAACACGTTATGGGCTTGGTAAAAAGGCTAATATTTTGTGGCTCAAAGTGTTTCGGGTACTCAACAGTATAAACGGATGCATATCATTATGCGAAATCACAGTGAGACACAGACCAACTAGGAGGTACATAACTTCCCTTAAGCTCGGATCAAATCAACAAACACATTATCCCAATCAAACCAATGACTACCCATGATGCTTAACAATATAACCAATGGTAACTCGACATTTCCGGTTCCAATCACTCTCCTTTCCCGCTTCTTCTTTTTATTTTCGTTTTTTTTTTTCTTTTTAATTTTATTTTTTAGAAGCGGGGGAGTGGAACCGGTGTCGCACAAAAGTCTGCATCAAGAACAATCGCAAACAGCAGCATATACCCATGAATATAACCTCTAAACCACAATGGCTCAATCTCATCACATATCGACAACCAGTAAACTACAACTCACTATCCTAACAAAAGGAAAACTATGTCGGTCCGTATACTCCGTAGTTTTCGCACATGGATGCATATCATGATGATCATATAAGAATGCATGAGGTTTCAAACAATGGGTGGGGAATGTACGTGCGTGAA